TTCTATGATTTCGATTGTTTTAGATTCTATGTATGAGATCATCCACTATCTGTCTTTCCGTGCCTGACTTACTTCACTTAGCAAAATGTCATCCAGGTTTGTCCATGTTGTCGCAAATGACAGAATTTCCTCTTCTTTAAGGCTGAATAAGTAATATTCCGTTATGTATATATACCACATTTTCCTTATCCATTTGTCAAAGGACACTTAGATCTCTTCTAGATCTTAGCTATTGTGAATAATGCTGCAGCCAAGAGCTGTTCCCTCTTCTTGAAGAAGATACAGCATGGTCTCACCATGAGAATGCCACATCTTTTTGAGATACTGATTTCATTTCTTTGGCTACATACTCAGAAGTGGGACTGCTAGATTATTTGGTAATTCCATTTTTAGTTTTTTGAGGAGCTTTCATACAGTTTTCCAAATTTTCCTCACAGCATTTGTGAGAACAAATGTTGTATCCTCACATGACAGAAGACAGAGGAGCAAAACAGGGCCTGACCTAGATCCCTCCAGCACTTTGATTAAGACACTAATCCCTTCATGAGGGACTCAATCACTTTCTAAAACGCACCATCTCTTACTTCTACACAATGCGGATTAAGTTTCAATGTGAAGTTTGAAGGGGATACAGTGAAACCGTAGCAAGGTCCTTTGCCCATTTTTTAATCACTCTGTTTTCTTGCTATTGTGTTGTTTGAGTTCCTTATATACCTTGGGTATTAGCCCCTAATCTGAGTAAATGAAATCCTAAGTGACTTCAGAAACTTGCCTTTTAGATAAAATGTTATTGTGTATATTATGAAAGGTCTTAATGATTTAAATCTATTGACATATAACCACAACAACAACTTTTCTTGTATCTAGTAGTTTCAATTTAATTTTTTTCTAATTGTCACTTCCTAGCTTAAAACAATTTTATGAGTTTGTTCTATTTTCTATCTCCCTGCCTTTTCTTTGTCAGATATAATATTTTTCTGCCATCTCTGAAATCTCTTTTGCTAGTATTGTCTTATAAAAACAGTATGTATGCATCCCTAAAGAATTGTAAAAGCAAAGACAAAAGCGGGGGAGGGAAGCAAATTCCTACTTTGTCTTTCTTCATCATGTCTATGACAAATGTAATTGTCCTGAGTCTGAGAATGTGATAGCTCCATGGCTGCATCCTCTGTCTCCCTTTGTTTTTTTACCGTGTGTGTGTGTGTGTGTGTGTGTGTGTGTAAAATCTGTATCTTCCTTACCATGGGATTCTAGCACTGGAATAATTTGCATGGTCAAGCTATGTCCATAAGAGCCACTTGGCATTTTTATTTCACTGTTCAAAATGGACAGATTTAAGGAAATGTGATTTTAAAATGCTTTGAGTTTACTTTATTGACTCCCGCCCTGTGAAGGCAGTGAAATAGTCATGAAGCATTTCTCATTGAACATCAGCACTTCTTCGATTAGTTCCTTCATAAAAATATAGCCTAAATGACTAGCCCTTTATGCTACTGTAGAAACAAGTTTATGAAACATAACTTGGTAACAATGAACAAACCCTGGCAAGTCCTGGTATGGGCAGGAAAGTGAAAAACATAAGGTGTTGTGCATATTGTCACTCTAGCCTGTATTCCTCATTAAAATAAGTAGAAATTGGGATTTATTCAACAGAAAAAGAGGCATTTGCATATTCAAGATTGGAAAGCCTAAATCTAAAGCTTTTAGAAGTAGCAAACATCTAAAAGCATATTTTCATAGATCCAAAGTAAAAAAAAATCGAAGTTTGTAAATTCTTTTACCAAATTACCTAAAATCTTATTTTTTAAAAAATAAACTGGATTCTATTATTGGATTCTAATTATTTCTTAACCAAAAATATAAAGAGTTTGAGTTCTTAACATACATTATAAATACCTGTTGTACTGATACGAATCTATTTTTTCAAAGGCAAACGACCCAATAGGAAAATGGGTCTGGTAATTCACAGAAGAGGAAATCCAGTAAACCTACGAACAAAACCTCATCCTCGCTCATATTCAGGGAAATGTAAATTCAAATCATGGTGGCTTATTTCTTACCTATGAAATTAGCAAAAATTTACAAGTATAATAACATCACATTTTGACAAGGATGTAAAACAAAGAGAAATTTCAGACCTGCTGTGGAAATGTAAACAGATAAAAACACTTTAGAAAACAGTCATCTTAAAGATGTGCATATTCTAAGACCCAGAACTGCCAACTCTTGGTGACACACTATAGAAAAACCCTTGTTCAGATTCCCTAGGAGACATGTGTAAGAATGTCTGTTGCAACATCATTTATAACAGGGAAAAAAATAATCCCAAAACAGGAAACCTGAAAACAAACCAAATATCCTTAAACAAAATTGTAATGTGTCCTGCAATGGGGTACTACACAATGATTAAAAGACAGGAACTAGAGCATACATGTAGATAAATCTTAAAAACATGTTCTGTGAAAAAAAAGTTTAAAAAGAAAGCCTTTCATTAGTTTTTATATAAAGCGTAAAACCTAGAGAATACACTTCTGGTTTTGTTTTGTTTTGTTTTTTTGACATGGAGTCTTGCTCTGTCACCCGGGCTGGAGTGCAGTGGCGCGATCTGGGCTCACTGCAACCTCCACCTCCCAGGTTCAAGTGATTCTCCTGCCTCAGCCTCCTGAGTAGGTGGAATTACAGGCATGTGCTACCATGCCTGGCTAATTTTTGTATTTTTAGTAGAGACGGGGTTTCACCATGTTAGTGAGGCTGATCTCGAACTCCTGACCTTGTGATTCTCCTGCCTCAGCCTCCCAAAGTACTGGGATTACAGGCGTGAGTCACTGAGCACCCGGCTACACCTCTGCAGTTTTATGGTTACATACCTTTGTATATGAATAACAGTGAAAAGGAATGAGATGAGCACGTACATGTGCAGAGAATTTCAATTTATTTATATTTTATTTCTTAAATTCTTCTTAAATTCCTATGTTAGATACATGTTTCTTATATATCATTCAATATGACTTTATATATAACTGAAATTTTTTTAGAAAAGAAGGAAAATACATCATGCTTTTATTTTTTGAAGTGGTCTAGTCACTAAATAGCATTTGTCAGGAAGTCTATTAGGTAATTTACATATTGCAGTAAATACACAAAGGAAAACAACTTTGAAAGAAATAAAAGCTTTCAATATAGTTTGTCTTAGCTCAGGCTACCATAACAAAATACTATAGATTGGGTGACTTCAATAGCAGACATCTATTTTCTCACAGTTCTGGAGGCTGGAAATCCAAGATCAAGGTGCCAGCAGAGTTGATGTCTGGTGAGGGCTCTCCCCTAGGGCTGTGGATGGCCACCGTGGCCTTCCCTTGGTACTTGCATACAGTGTCTCCTCTTATAAGGGCACTAATCCTATTGGATATATGCCCCACTCTTATGACCTCATTTGACCATTATTACTTATTTAGGAATCCCATTTTCAAGTACAGCTACACTGAACGTTAATTTTGAGTGGACATATTCAATCCATAACATAGGTGATAGTCCCCTTGGGTAAAAGTAATAGCTGAGTAAGAAGTTGTAAATAAAAGCTACCTGAAGCATTTTTGACATTTAGCATTATCAGTACACAAATAATAGGTTTGGAGATGTAGACTCCTTTCTAAAATCTCAAAATAGGTTTCTTTTCTCCTTCTTCCTTTTCTGGGACTTCTCAGATTGTTTTCTTTTGTTTTGTTATAGCTGACGTTTAGAAATTAATCTTGTCATTTTTAGATCACTCCACGTGTTCATGCCACCTTTCTTGTTCATTTTTCCATTCGTGTACTCTGCTTTTTACTTGTCATTGTTTTCTTCTATTTTGATGGTTTTTGACTTGGAATTTGTTTTTGTTGTTTGGCTTTTAATTATTACAAAAGACTCTAAGATATTACATATAACACTCATAATTTCTGGACATCTTTTTTTTAATTTACGATAATGTTATATAATCTTAATATAGTGTCCATAGTTATCCATTTTCTGGTTTTGTGAAAAATCATTCCCCTCATTCTACAAGATTTTTGTATTCTGCAGTTACATTGGTGTTATATGAAATACATTTATCACCTAATTTAATCAGATCTGTTTCATTTGCCTTCACCCATTTGTCTTATTGTACGTGTGAAATTTGGATAATTTGCATGTGAAACTAGAACAGTAAGGAGTCATACATTTTCAAGAATGCAAGAGAATTCCAAGAATGTTTTTAAAATGCTGGCAGAAGGTTCGGCAACATATCTTTTTAGGTAGCCTATTGCTAAGGTACCCTTAGAATGGAAGTCCTTTGACGCAGGATCAACCATATTGCATTGGTACATGGTACCTATAATAATGCTATTAAGGCAGTAATTGCTAAATAGGTAGATACATTTTAATTGATTTGCTGCTTTGAGTCAATAAAGTTGAAGGAACTAAGAACTCTGCTGCTTTGGAGAGAAGCAAGATAGCTGCATTTTTTAGAATACCATCTGATAAGCTTCAGAGAAGAAATACTTCTTCATAGCTCTGCTTCTTTCAAAAAGGAAAAAAAAACTATGCACATATACAGTTCATTCATTGTGATGAATGGGAAAGCTGGCAGCATTGCTGAGTGGGCATGAAATGGGGAAGCCAAGGTGTGCAGCTTCCATGCTAGGTGCCTAACTGTTCAGCTGGTGACATACCTGTCGAGGTATCTCTTAAGGCCTGGTCCCAACTCAGGGGCAGTTACACCTGATAAAGAGCTCTGAAGCCATTTGGTTTTATGACAAGGGACCTAGTTAAAGAGATTGGCCTTGATTGCCATCCTGGGAAGGAATATAGGAAATATGTGGACACTGGCGGGAGAAAGCTGGAAGGATGTGGCAGCAGAGGCACATTGGGTTGTTTTAGTGAGTTAAAGTCATTCAGCACAAGGGATTTTTTGTAAATATGCTGTGCTTTGTTACTGACTTGCTTTTTTGAACACTAAATGGCATCACGATTTCCTGCAGGAGGAGCAACTGAAGTCACATGAAAGTAAGCTGAAGCAGATCACCACTGAGCTGGCCGAGCACCGCTCATATCCCCCCGACAAGAAGGTCAAAGCCAAGGACGTCGATGAGTACAAACTGAAAGACCACTATCTGGAGTTTGAGGTATGTTGCACCCAAATGTTAGTAAATGCTGATTTCTGAGTTATCTTAGGATCTGTCCGTGAGGTGGTGTCTTTCTTTGCAGTTACTGTCACCGAGAGAGGCGTGCCTTGCCCCTGGCTCTAATTTGGGAGCTCCTGGCAAGGTCAAAGTGGTCCCTCTTGTTTGTGGTTCTGTTTAAGTGCCAAACAAACATCAAAGAGTAACTGCCAGTTTATACACTTAAAAGCAAATAGCCTGCCTGGTGGGAATAGTGTGCGCCCGCTGTGAGGGGAAGAAAAAGCACAGTAGAGGGACATGCCAGGGTAGACAGCTGCTTTCTGTGTCCCTGTGTCTCTTCCGGCAGAATCGGAGTCAAAAAAAGCACAAGGGAGGAAATGAGCCACAGAGGGATGTGAGGCATCAGCTTTTCCCTGCACATTCTTGCTGTTCGGCAACAACATGCATTTTTCTTCTTGCCACCCACTGCCCTTCAGAAGGGGGCTGATAAATTAAGTTGTGGCACATCCAGCTATACAGTGAGTGTGCTTATTAAAAAGAATGGTAAGGATCCATATGCTCTGGCCTAGAAAAGTGTAAAATTTAAACACACATTGAAAACAATGTATTTCCAAATATTTCCGTGGCTCACTTTTCTTCCAAATTAATATCAGGGTTAGACTGCCTTAGCCTCTACCTTCAGACATTTAAAGTGTTTTTTTAAAAAAGTGGGTAGCATGCAATACAAAATCAAAAGAATTAATTATTTTGACTAATTTGACCTTGTTTGTTTTTTTTTTTTTCTGTTGGGTGTGCTGAATCTGCCGTTAGCCGTTCTTGTTCACTGTAACTCTGATCCCTTTTACTTCTCATCATTCCTCTCCTTTGTTTTCATCTTACCATCTGATTTCCTCCTCAGGCTTGAAATTTAAAATCTGCTAAGTGTCCACATCCTAGCGATCAGTCTTTGCGGCGTCTCACACCTGTCCCTTCCTTGCGTTGCTTTATAACTACTTCCCCTGCTGAGCCCTGGCTTTCTCCTCTCTCACTCTGCCCTCCTTTCTTCAGTTCATCCTAAATCCTTTGGCCAGTTGTTTTTCTGAGGTTCAACCCAGATGACTGCATTCCCCTGCTCAACAGCTGCCTGCGGCTTCCCCCATTCCCCTCCCCCATTACCTCCTGAAGAAAGTCTCAGTTCTTTCATAGGAGAGGATTTGGCGTCTCCACATTTCCACGACCTCCGTCTTTCCCACACCGGCCTCCCTACGTTAGTCACATTTCTACCCACTCTCCCCAAACACACGTTTATACCTTTGTTTACTTACTTTCTTCTGCCTCGGATGCTCTTCCTATCATCTTCATTTCTGAAAGTCCTGTTCGTCTTTTGAGGTACAGTCCAAATTCCTCCTGTGAAAAACCTGATCTAGATATACTAGCTGGAATTCATCTGTTACAGTACTTGCCACAATTTGTTTAAGCTGAGGTTGTTTTCACCTGTCTTTGTACCTGTAGTGGATTCCATAATACCTCCCCCTACCCAAAACTATGATCCTGAGTTCCTTTCCAGCCCTTGCTCTATGTGTGCCTGCTGAGTTGGATACAGTTTCGTAGAAGCCTTAAAAAGTCTCTGAGTTATAATATTTCTGTTATCAAATGTAGCATTTGATTCAAAAAATGGCACTTCCACTACAGATCCATGTACTAGTTTTCTTCATGGTCAAGCAGATCTTTGCTCTGGGCAGAGAACTATACTAAGAGAAATATTTATTTTGGTAAAGGTAAAAGTTTCTTAGCAAAAACTGTACAAGTCTTACCAGCAGAAGACTTGAAAAATTTTAAAAAATAAATAAATGAAGAAACCAACAACAAAAAGCTAGGCAGCTCATCTTTCCCCAGGCTTGTTCATTCTTGGGAAATGGGGGTTCTCAAAAAGCCATTATTATTCTTCACACTTCTGGAGTGGCTTTAGCCATAGGCCCTTTTTGTTTCACACACGCTAATTAAATTTCCCAACACCTCAGTCCCTGCTTCCAGCACTCAGCACCTCACTGGAGCCCTTGATGCCAAAGCGGGAAGAGCGTGTCCCCAGGAGGTGGGGGGTGGCTGCAAGGCCATGGAAAGGTTGCCATAGCTAGGAGCCCTCCCTACGTTTGAGTCTACAGCACTCCTCTTTTCTGAAAATGTAACCCACCAAGAGCCAGCATTTTCAATCCCTGACGTGAAGTTAGACCAGGCTTTGCAGGGATTAAGTCTTGCTTTCATCAAATCGTCACCTCAGCGAGCTTGCAGACTGCATTCCAGGACTCCTTAAAATCAGAGCCATATGCTAATCTATCAGGCAGGTTGGCTTGTCTGTCAAGCTCCTTCACCTGTGTCTATCAGAAATGTGCAAGGATACCTGACTTGGTACAGCTGATATGTATGTCATGAAAAAGGGAAGATTTCAGCTGTCAACTAAAAAGGGTTTTGTAAAAGTAGTGCTTTTTAAAAAGTGAACAATTGTTTTTCAGTAATTTAAATTAACACTGAAGTCATATATCAGATAGAGTCCACTTTGCTATCATTGCAGCCACCAGAATTTGTCTCTTGTGAGTGCTTGCAGAGAGTCTTGGCACAGCATCCTTTGCTTCATAAGCAGTATTCCCTGAATAGGCGATATGAGAGTTATTGACCATTTTTCCCAGCTTCTAGAACACTGACTAATTGATGCACATTTGTTGACAACATGCATGAACTTTTATTATTGTATGTAAAAGATAGCATCAGAGGAAGTAATTCTCTGAGAAACCTTAGTATTCATTATTTTAACAGGACCAGAAGCTCCCATGAACACAAACCTGGTGTGTGTTCTCACCCAGGTGAGAGCAGACAGCAGTGTGTGCAGTTCAGTGGGAGCCCACAGATGGGCAGTGACAGGAAGAGGGACTTCAATCACCAGGGAAGATCACAGGCATGAATGGGTGCTCTCACCTCCTCCTATGGTGGGTCCTCCTCAGGGCCTCCCTTGGTTTCAAAGCAATTCTTAACAATTTTCACAAGTCTTCGTGTGGAAAAAACTAAGCTGTTAGTAATAACACCAGGAGTGTTCCTAATTTATGCATTTCAGTTGTTTAAATCCCAGGTTGCTTTGAGTACAAACAATGCTTCATGGTGAGCCAAATTTACTGCTCTTTCTATGCCTTAGAAACTGTCCAAACACTGACAGTAAATAATTAGAAATTCTGGTAAATGCATAGGTTCAGGGTTTAAGAAAAAATCTACAGAGAGCAAGGAAGCTTCCATCTTAGCCTGTCAGAAAGAAGATTCACTTTTACTTACAGCAGCAAACTTGACTCAGAATGGGCTCTCACCATTGTCTGAATTCTAAGGTGAAAGCAGCAAACTTGACTCAGAATGGGCTCTCGCCATTGACTGCACTCTAAGGTGAAAGCAGCAAACTTGACTCAGAATGGGCTCTCGCCATTGACTGCACTCTAAGGTGAAAGCGGCAAACTTGACTCAGAATGGGCTCTCGCCATTGACTGCACTCTAAGGTGAAAGCAGCAAACTTGACTCAGAATGGGCTCTCGCCATTGACTGCACTCTAAGGTGAAAGCGGCAAACTTGACTCAGAAGGGGCTCTCGCCATTAACTGAACTCTAAGGTGAAAGCAGCAAACTTGACTCAAAAGGGGCTCTCGTCATTGACTGCACTCTAAGGGAAGGCGTGTCTTGTTTTCGACTGAATCTGTAACCTCCAAGCTGTGGCTTGAAATCTAATCTTACTTATGAAAGAGCCTTTAAGCATGACAACTCTACATTGAGAAACTCACCATCATTTCCCAATTTCAAGAAATAAATATCAGAAATAGCCACATTTCCGTATAAATTAACTTTTCTGTGTTTTATTCAGTTCCCATTTTACTGAAAAATATTTAATTGATCCCTGTGCTTCTTCTGTATTGGGAAACAGATCAAGTTCTGGGGCAGATGGATGTTTTGTGTCAGATGTAAAAATTTACAAGGCTCCAAACAAAGCACAGTTGGTTGAGCTGTTCTGGAAAACACCTGGGCCCCTTAAGACACAGAACCATTAAAGAAATTCCCTTGACAGCAATGCAGTTGGCCCTAATGTTTCGATTTTGTGTTTCTTCAGCTTTAGAAACAACAGCTAGAAGAAGATGATGCTGTTTATTTCAAGATATTTTTCATACAACATTTAAGATGTTACAGATGCAACATGTAAGATGATTACAGATGTTAACATAACCCTTAAGTTGAGCTGGACCTGAGTAGGGAGAGGAAGAAGATACCACATCCCAAGTCTATTAAAACCATGACTGGGCTGCAAGAGATTTACTACAGAGGAATTGCTGAAGGTCGGGTTAGTAGCTGGCTTTCAGGTCGTTGTAAAGCAAGGTAGAAAACCAGCCGACACAATGCCAGTGAATTTTATGTTGCCAGCCCACCTAATGTCAACGTGTTTTCTTTGGCCGACCTAATGTTGTATTTGTTTTAATTGTAATTTAAATGTGTTTAGGAAAGACAGGCCTTGTCCTTCCCACCATTCCCTGTTATTAATATATCACATCTGATAGCTCTCTACAGTTTGTGTCATTGCTCTGGTCCCTGAAGGCTTTTGAGTTTGCAAACCCTGTACTAGAGGCTGCAGCCAGTTTTATATGCATTAAGTATTAGTTAGATCTTTGAACATGGGCTTGGAATTAATAGTCCCTTCAGTCTCAGAAGGAAGATACTTCCCCGTTATATGTGTTTTCAGGTTCCAATGCAGCAGAAAAAAAAGAGAATGTCCACTTCCCTCATGACTGAAACCAAAGACTTAGAAAAAAGGTCATTTGACTTAATGGACTTGAATTCAGCTGAATACCCACTCCTGAATTGCAACCCAGAGTAGCATATGCTTATGGCTTAAGACAGTTAGGGCCCACACCGACCACATGGCTGGGAAATTCAATTTTAGAAACAACAAATGTCCACTATAACAAAACTTATAAATTTCTTGGGATAGAATATTTTCTTAAAAAT